TTGCCGCCAAAGGACTGCCCCCGCCCCCTCGCTGGCCTTCCGACATGTGTTGTCCATCTGGCCCCTTGTCACAACGTTACACTCACTACCGCTTATGCAGTAAAGAGAAATTTATGTAATGATGGGGGGGAATGGCAAATTTTCTGCAGAAAATGAAAAACTGCTGGGCCCCGATACAAAGCAAAAGTGGATAACTCCAGTTCCTATATTTACAAGAAAAACTCCCCCAACATGTGGTGTAGGCAGAATCCATGTTTTGTGGGTCCTTGATACCAAAAAATCGATTGAAGGCAATACATCTGTCTATCTGGTGTATGTGAACAACACTTGCACTAAACTACGCATACAACTTTTTCCAAACTGAAAAACTCCTTGCCCCGAGTTGAAGCTCTGCCATTTTGAAAAATATTCCATAATTTTTGAGGATACTTTACATTAAGCTCTTGGAACATTGTCAAACTTTTCTCAAAAAGACTCCAAATATTTTCTTAAAAAATATCTGGTAAGAATAGTGTGAAATACACTTACAAAGATGGCGTATGTTCGATTTTCAATGTTAGCTAAATTTTTGATAATTCGTAAATTTTGATTTTTTTTTTGGTCTTCCTACAACTACAAAAGCGAAGATAGAGATTTTTCTTTCATTTAAAATTTGTTGGCCATAATTAGTTTTTTCAGTAAGGTCACGTACATTTTTTTGAAACTTGTAGTTTTCATGCAATATCGTGTGCATTATATGCAATTTTTAAAAATTACAAAAACAAGATTTTCTCAAAAATGGCTTCAAATTTTATCTTTAAATTCTTTGTAGGGATGGGCTGAATGTACATGGGCTGAATAGGGCAAGATGACATAAACATCATTTTGCCCTATTCTTTTGATTTTTCAAAAATTACAAAAATATTTTTTTTGACTGGCCTCTCCTGTCTTTAATATGTACATTAGCAAAGATTTCTTTACATTATTGCATTTATGAGTTCATGTTCTTTAAATAAAGTTTTATGAAAACCCAAATTTTAATATAAAAACTAGCCCAAAATACCACATTTTCAGAAACGGCCAAATGCCATTTTCTCAAAAAAAATTTTTCTTCAATTTCTTCTTTTCATTGTGTACAGATACTGTGAATTGAACTGTTTAGGATGGCAAAAACTATTTTGTTGTTTTCTTTTGTTTTTCAGAAATGTCACCAATTAGTTTTTTCAGTAAGGTCACGCACATTTTTTTGAAACTTTCAGTAGTTTTCATGCAATATTGTGTGCAATCCCTCATCTTGAATATGTAGATTTCCAGCAATTAGTATTCATTATTAAATTGTAGTGTGGAGGTGCTTCAAATGTCTTTCAACAATGTTTTTTGAAAATTCAAAATATTTCTGGGAAAAAGAGCTTCAAATTTTGCTTTTACAGTAACGTTTTAATGCCAGTTTTCTCAATAACAGCTCCAAATTTTTCAACAAATATTTCCTTAAATGATGAGGTGTTATTCTGCTATAAAATTCTTGTAGTAATAATTTGGTTCTACTATTGGGAAATTTAAAAGTTGTAAAAATTTCAAAACAACTTTTGGGTGTCTATAGATGACAGCTGGCTAAAGTACATTGCAAGTCCAAAAAGCTAGTCCAGACCAAAGAAGTTAGAAAAATAACTAGCACAAGAAAGTGCCATTCCGTTGCACCACTAGTTTAAACTTATTCAATGTGGGAAAAAAAATAAATTAAAGTGATGTAAATCTCTCAACTCTAGTTGTAAAATATTGTGTGTCATGCATATATGAACTTAATAGTGTGGTTCTATGGAATTTTGTTAGACTAGTAATAAAATTATATGAATATGGTCCCCCATGTGGATGGTATTCTTATATCAGACTACTGGTATTACACCTGTATAAACCAATTAAATTCTTGACTGTCAGAGATAATGGGGAAAAAATTAGTAATAAGGAACAGATCAAAACCCTTCTTATTTATAAGAAAGCAGCTTAGTGGTTAGGACACACATGTCAACATAAGGGACCTAGGTTCAAACTCCATCAATGGTGATGACTTTAACCTGGCTCTGCCCTATTGAGGGCAAACCTGAGGTTCACTCAGTCTCCTTTCAAAATGAGAACCAGTATTTGATGACTTTATTGTAAGTATTGGGGAAAATTTAAGGGGCAGCGGCAGTCAGGTCAATTGGGGAGTATCAAAATCCTGCGTATGGTTTAGGCACTAGCATTGCTAATAGACAGATACAGGATGCAATTTTCGCTGCTATAGTGTTTATGATACAAGAGGTAAAAATGACATTTTATTTTATGAGTACAGAAGGGTGCGCCCATAAGCCTCGTGGTAGGCTTTGTATTTCCTTTGTTCCATTCACAGTTTTATCTGAACATTTGAGCATTGTCTCACTTTTAGGATTAATGCTAAAAATTGAACTTTTGTGAAAGAACCGCTTTTACTTATAGCTGTCTAAAAAAACAAATTTTTTGGAATCAAGGACATACCAAGCATGGATTCTGACCACACAATGTGTTACAGAAGTAATTTACCACATAAAGGAATAAGATTTATCCACTTTTTCATTACCAGAGCCCTGCAATAAGAGTTTTTCTGCCAAAACATTATGAGTTTTTCCCGCAGCATTACAATACTTTGCTTAAACAATATGTGAGAGTGTGTGAAGAAGAGAAAAGAAAATTTAAGTATTTATGTCTGTCATTTTGTAATTTAAATATAATTAATAGTTGAATCTACAATTAAATTGCATTTCATACAGGTTATTTTTCTTGTCTCTAAGGAAGCATGATAATATATTTTTTGTAATAAATGCTTGTATTAACATTCTGTTGTTATTCTGTTAGAAAAAGGGTATAATATTCAAGATTTGCTTTTAAGATTCCGTAAAGATAAAGATATTTAAAATCTTGTTTGGATTTACTGTGTTTTTCTTGTTTTTGTAGACTGTTGTTCTAGACGAAGCAAGATTTCGTGAGTTAGCTGTACGGGTTTACCACTTAACAATTATTGGTGCTATATTGTTATTGGTGGCAAGTTGTGCTCCATCTCTTCAAGGTGTAGCCTCTTTCAGAGAGATTGTTAAGAAGCATTTACAAACCTTATTAAGTGAAATTAAAGCTGATGAGTAAGTTAAAAACTTAGTTTAACAGTAAAACTTTTCTTTGATATTTGTTCAATGTTCCTAATCGATCAATTTATTACAGAGAACTTCAAAGAGCAATTGATAATATATCTGTTCAGATTCTTAAGGATGTTAATGATTCTTTAAAATCCCATGGATTTAGAGAGTTGGATGAGTCCACAACCAATGTACTTCTAGTTCAAGTGAAGGCTGTGAGTGAAGCTAATCACAGAATAAAGGACCTTGTCAGTAAGTCTCATCTTTTTTTGTGGGTCTGATTAAATTTTTTCCTTGAATTAAGTACAAATGTCTGGCAGCTGAATGGAACCCTAAGAAATGGTTAGAAGAGCATTTTTGAAGTAATATTTCATATAATCCCTAATGGTTTTTGTATTTGTAATTGAAATATTTAATAACCTCAAACATTAATATACGCTGATGGGCCAGTTTCTCTTTACCAGATGTGAAAAATACATTTTTTTAGGTAGAGGGAAAACCTGAACTTGAACCTAAGGATTTTATCGAACAAACAAATTAGGTCGATTTTTATCAAATATCCATCTTTTTCCCTTTGCGGCGTTTGCTATTTCTGATGTTTACATCTTTTACAACAATAAAAACAACATTATTATTATTATTATTATAACAATAACAGAAGAGCACACAAATATGCATTAATTAGTTTTTGCTAACACATTGCTACGTGACCAAGAACTGTCTACCACTTAATGTTATTTGTAGAAGAGATTAAATACTTGAGTAAAGAATTTAGTTGTTGGAAAGAAAATCTCTAGAAAAAAAAGAGGAGCTCTATCTAGCTAGCTCAGCTTTTGGCATGTAGCCGTGAAGTCTTCCAAACGTAGTGCATGAAGCAAATTTTTCAAGGTGTACATATACCACATGTACTCCAGCTGTGGAGAATAAGTTAATTATAAAGCAAGCTAAAAGGAATCTTTATTATTTTTTCCCCTGAAGTTTGTAGAAACTGTTAAAGCTGCCTTGTTAAACATTGTCAAAACAAAATTGTGATTTTTTTAACACTTCTTTATTTTTGTAAATAAACTTTCTACATAAAAGTTACGTGTGTAATTTTGAATACAGCATAAATTTAGTTTGTTAAACTTATTAAAAAAGCCCCCAAACATTTGCAATATATTTAATAAACATAACATGATGAAAACATCATGAATATGGCACGACTTATGAGACAAAAATATCCAGAAAGATAAATACCCAGAATGTGTTAACTCTTATTATCCAGTGAGAGGTAAACTTGAGAGTTGAATTAAGTATTAAATTAGTTACATATATTTGATTAAAGAAAATGTTTGTTGCAGGTAAACGCATTAAGGAATTTCTTCTCCAAACAATTATGTCACCAACTGCTGCTCCTGTGCGGGTCCCACCAGGCCTTTCCACATTACAAGCTGAGTTGACATCGATTACAGGAAATTTCCTACGATTAGTATCTCACAATAGATCTGTATTTAGTGAGTACTATATTGATATTGTTTCTGCAGCTGTCTCAAAATAGATCAGTGATGTACCCTGCAGTGTAATGACTTTACACATGTGATCAGCAGAATCAAACTGCTCCAAATACAAGGATGTTAATTAATTAACAATGAAATTTTTCCATATGAGAGTTCTTTCCATATGATCAATGTTATTGATTGTGTTGCTTTTGCAAAGGGTCTTAAACACTCCTGTTTTGAGTTGTGTACATTATGATGTTTGGTGTTGTTGTTTTAAACATGTTTTTTTATGTTAAAAATTTATTATGTTCTGTTGCTGTGATTTTTGCATCTTACAAGATGTATGTAAATTAGATTCAATATTATTTAATATAAATAAAATATGTGCTACTTCTATAGGGGGGATTAGCAGTGAAGCAGTTCAAAATAATTTTCAGAATATTCTGAAAGAAAACTGTTGGCTTCATGGGCAGGATTTGTCCATATATCTTTTTTAGGCAATGTTCATTTAATAATATTGCCATGAAAACAATTACATGATTGATTATCTTTGGAACATTTAATGCTATTGTTTTATATTTATAAACAGCTCAAAGTGAAACTAATTGCACTTTCAGCTAAATGTTCTTATTTCCATATATTACATGAAACAAACTGAAAGATGGGAATTCATTTGTGAGAATGCATTGAAAGAAACATCAGCATTGCAACCTAAAATAGTTCATTTTATTTTTCTTGATTTTTATTTGACATGAAATTGTCATCAGTCATTTATATTGAACATAAAAACATAATTTATGTTTTAAATGAAAATGAATGTCTGTGCCTTGTTACAAGGCATAACTACTGCCAGAACTCATTTAGTACTTCCACCAGCTAATCCACCCTGTGTATGTTGTGAAATATAACTGGTGTTGTTTGTTGTTGTTTTTTTGCATTGTAATTGGTTTATACTTAAAGAAAGCCAAATCATAAATATTTTATGTTATTCATAATTATACTTGTAATTGAAAATGTTTTATGTGCCTGTGATTTTTTTTTTCTTGTAAATAGCGCTACATTAGGAACATCTCTTTAAGAATGTGTATTAGTTTCATGAAGCCTGATCAAATAATTGGACATTCTTCAGTCTACATGTGGAACTATTTATTGACAAGGTAGCACTGGGGAAATGAAGGAAGAATTGGGTAATGTTCTTGAAAATGTTTTGCATTTTTTCAAATGATTTAAACAAATATTTAAATTTAAAAATTACAGGACATGAACAAAATGAAATGGTAAGCATAATTACAATTGATTCTAAGATTTTTGCTACAGATTTAGGGCAAAATTTGTAATTATGCCATTAAAAATATCGACCTCTTTGCTTATTTTATGGACTGGACCTCCATTATTACCATTATTTCGTCAACAGTAAAACATGTTTCATTTGTTAATTATGATCATTATAATCATACTGATCGGATAATTTGAATCGTATTAATGATCTTGATCTTTTGCTCGCATCCCTTCATTCAATTCTTAGTTATGGGCATAGTGGCTTTGGGTCTTATAACTGTCAAGATATTGAATTTGTTGAGGACGACCTCGTCTGTAAGAATTCTTAATGACTCTAACACGAATATTTTTCATGGCGTCATATCTTCCTGGCTGGTCTATCAGCAACTCATTACAATATCTCATGTACTTTTCAGAATCATTTTATTAAATACTGTAGATTAATAAGAACGGAATAGTTGTAGTCATTCTGAATGAAAATATATTACAAGGTATTAAACCTAAGGCCAAGATCAGATTATTTGCTCTTCTCTTTTGGACTTGCTCGTCAAACTGATAATTAATGATAGAGGTTCATGACTGATTTTGGTAGGCTTCTGGTTTCCTTGCCTCTCATTCAACCATTTTTTATGATCTTTTGCTATAATAGATAAAATTATCAAGGTTTACCTGTTAACAAACTTGTTTTACTGCAAGGTTTCTTAATTGAGCTCCTCAAATATGTATAATAATTTTTGTCAAATGTCATAATTGTGGAAGGACATGCATTGAAACATGAAGAATTCTCAGTGGAAGGCTCTTTAACTTACGCTATTACCAAGGGTACCTATAAAACCATCTGATTCCCTTTACATAGTTTCCTAGAAAAACTACATAGTTCTAATTTTTGTAACATATGATGGCACTAATGTGTGGTGTTCACGTTTTTCATAAACTTACTATGATAAATATGTAGACTGAAGCAACAAAGAAGATTGAATCTTAAATTTAATTTTTTATTCACCCTTTGAATTGGGTTTGTACTGCTGAAAAACAATGAAAATGTAGTGGAT